GCACGCTACGGCTTGACTCGCATCTAGCGCAACTAGAGGTGGAACTTGGAAAGATCAGGTGGCACATACTAGGGTTATGTGAAGTCCGAAGAGAGGGGGAGGACACGATAACTCTCAAATCAGGCCACCTGATGTACTTCCGTGAGGGAGACCAAAAATCCCAAGGTGGCGTTGGGTTTCTGGTTAACAAGTCCCTATCTAACAATGTTGTGGAAATGTCGAGTGTGTCGAACAGGGTGGCGTACCTCATTATAAAGCTCACCGAGAGGTATAGCCTTAAGGTGGTCCAAGTGTACGCACCGACCTCGGCACACTCCGATGATGAGGTGGAGGAGATGTTCGATGATATATCGAGGGCCCTCCACTCCACCACTAGGACTCACTTCAACATTGTTATGGGGGACTTTAACGCCAAAGTGGGAGTACAAAATTGCAGTGAATCGGTAGTAGGATCCCATGGGTATGGAAACAGGAATCATAGGGGGCAAATGCTCGTCAATTTCCTCGAACGGGAGGGGATGTTCTTAATGAATTCATTCTTTAAGAAGCAGCCCCAAAGGAAGTGGACGTGGCAAAGCCCCGACACTATGACAAAGAACGAGATCGACTTCATCATGGCGGACAAAAGGCACATATTCAGAGACGTCTCCGTGATTAATAGGTTTAATACCGGTAGCGATCACCGACTCGTCCGAGGCTCTCTGAATATCGACTTCAGAGCCGAACGAGTCCGCTTGATGAAGGCCAGGCTCCGACCAACCCTGTTTCAAATCAAAATGGGATCTGAAGCGTTTCAGTTAAACCTGGAGAACCGATTTGCTGCCCTGGAAACCACAACCGACGTTAACCGGAACCTTGAAAACGTGGTTCGAGTTCTCAGGGAAGAATGTACGAGATTTTGTGAAATGCAGCGTAAGGGCAAGAAGTCGAAGCTTTCGGAAGAGACTTTAGGGCTTATGAAGAGACGACGTGAAAACCCACCCGTCACTTCGTCAGAGAAGCGGGCTCTAAACCGAGAGATTAGCAAACACGTGCGACACGATCTCCGGTGCTCGAATACCCATGCAATCGAGAGAGCGATCGAGCAAAACCGGGGGCCAAAAGTGTTCGTACAATCTCTTGGAAGAAGCCACCTGACGAAGTTGACCACAGCAAGTGGAGAAGTCGTTGTCTCGAAGCCGGCAGTTCTTTCGGAAGTAGAAAACTTCTACGGCCGGTTATACGCTTCGCATGCATCTCGACCTGACCCCGGAAATGAGGACTCTAGAGCCACTTTAATACGCCATTACACCGAAGACCTGCCAGAAGTCAGCATTGACGAAATCGAGATCGCTCTTGGACAGCTTAAAAATGGAAAAGCCCCTGGAGAGGATGGCGTTACGACAGAGCTTCTAAAAGCAGGCAGCAAACCGGTACTCAGGGAGCTGCAAAAGCTATTTAACGCTGTCCTGTTTGAAGGGAGAACTCCAGAGGCGTGGAGTCGGAGTGTGGTCGTCTTATTCTTCAAAAAGGGTGACAAAACCCTACTGAAGAATTATCGACCCATTTCCCTTTTAAGCCACGTCTATAAGCTGTTCTCGAGAGTGATCACGAACCGCCTTGCGCGAAGACTTGACGAATTCCAACCACCGGAGCAGGCTGGGTTTCGGAGCGGATACGGCACCATAGACCACATCCACACAGTGCGGCAGATTATACAGAAGACTGAGGAGTATAATCAGCCCCTGTGCCTAGCATTTGTGGACTATGAGAAAGCCTTTGACTCGGTCGAAATCTGGGCTGTTCTGGAGTCCCTGCAGCGATGCCAAATAGATTGGCGATACATCCAAGTGATGAGATGTCTCTACGAGGCCGCCACCATGTCCGTCCAAGTACAGGATCAGCAAACAAGGCCGATACCGTTGCATCGAGGTGTGAGACAAGGGGATGTTATCTCCCCGAAATTGTTCACAAATGCAATGGAGGATATGTTCAAGACGCTGAACTGGAAAGGACGCGGCATCAACATAAATGGCGAGTACATCTCTCACTTGCGATTTGCAGACGACATCGTCATCGTAGCAGAAACGCTGCAGGACCTACAACGGATGCTGAATGACCTGGCTGACTCTTCTATACGCATCGGCCTACGGATGAACTTGGACAAAACCAAGGTCATGTTCAATGAACATGTACTACCGGAACCGATTGCAGTACACGGCGCTGTTCTCGAAGTCGTTCAAAAATATGTATACCTCGGGCAGACATTGCAGATGGGTAGAAACAACTTCGAGAACGAGGTGAATAGAAGAATTCAGCTAGGTTGGGCAGCATATGGAAAGCTGCGTCAAGTCTTCACGTCGTCGATCCCACAGTGCCTAAAGACGAAAGTCTTCAATCAGTGCGTCCTACCTGTCATGACATACGGAGCCGAAACGTGGACACTGACGGTGCGGCTGGTTCACAAGCTAAAAGTCACTCAGCGAGCTATGGAGAGGGCTATGCTCGGCGTTTCTCTGCGAGATCGAATCAGAAACGAGGTGATCCGGCAGAGAACCAAGGTAATCGACATAGCCCACCGGATTAGCAAGCTGAAATGGCAGTGGGCTGGCCATATTAGCCGAAGAACCGATGACCGTTGGAGTAGACGAGTTCTTGAGTGGAGACCGCGTCTCGGCAAACGTAATGTAGGACGTCCTCAGGCAAGGTGGAGTGATGATTTGCGCAAGATGGCTGGCAGGAGCTGGATGCGAGTGGCCGAAGATCGATCCCAGTGGCGTGCAATAGGAGAGGCCTATGTCCAGCAGTGGACTGAAAAGGGCTGATGATGATGATGATGATGATGATGAGACACGTTATCGGTCTATAATTTTTAGGTTCCGTGGTACAACCAGATTTATGGAGCAGGTGGGTAAGTCCTGTTGTAAAGAATTGGGGCAAAGACCCAGACTCCAACGCTGATTGGAATTGAGTCGCCAAGCGACTATGCGAACTCATAAACCATTTAATCCAAAAGTTATGCAGCCCGTCCGGGCCTGGAGCTTTCCAGTTAGCCAACGGGTAGGCTGCATTTGATACGTCTTCGGTGCTAATCTTAATAGAGTTCATTTGTGGTATCAGTTCGCATTTTCCCTTGACCTCCTCAATCCAATCACCCTCGGTGTGATCAACAGGTGCCGACCAGATGCTGCGCCAGAATGCCTTCGTGGCGCTAAAATCTGGTAGGCACGTGTCAGTCCTAGCCTGTTCTTTTTGCTCCCAATTTCTATACACCCACCTTTGATCCCTTTGGAATGCGCGATTCTGGGTATACCGCTCTGCTCGTCTTTTGTATCGGCGAATGCGGTTTGCCCATGCATAAATCTTCCGTTTCAGGAAGTCAACACGCTCCGTGATGTGCGATGCGTAATTCTGAGGCGAAATTGCAGTCCCTGAAAACGCTCTCTTCACGAATCGCATTATCCTCGGGCGAGTGTTGCCCTCCCTGAAACAGATCAATTTGGCAATAAGTGTTCTGACCTCGCCAATACGCCGTTCAATCCTGCACTGCCAAGCAGGTACAGCTGGTTTTGGTCGTGTGGCTCTATTGTAGTTGTCTGGTAATTTGACATTTGCCACACGACAAGCCGCTATAGCTGCGCAATACAGAATTGAGTGCGTATCAACGAGATCTTTGCTGTTGTCCAAATATGTTGGTAGCTGTGAGTCCAAAGCGCACATGATCGCTTTATTCTTTTTATGCATAGGCAAACGAGGCAAACGCGGTTTCAAATATGCGTGTCGATATTCCTGAATCGCACCCTCCAAAGTTCTCCTCAATTCATCACTGCATATGTGAGTACTTACTTCTGTAGTCCTATCATCATTCGGCACATCAGTAGAGTTTGGTTGTAACTCTTCTGTAGTTTGTGATGGCGGAATGATGACGCGGCTCCTTAGTACTTCACTTCGCAGTCGATCAAGTACGACATCTTCCAACATTCGATTCCGCTGGATGACTCGTACCTGATCCGATAATACATTATTATTATTGACATTATTATTATTTTCTATTATTGTTAGTGTAAGGACCGTGTGAGACTTGCCGCGCTTTTGGACTACCAGTTATCTGCGTTCTGACAGTTTGAGTACTTGCGTGACCCAACCAAATGTTCTTTAGATCGGTATTGTTCGTCGGACAACTCATCAGCACTTGCTATGCTGGTTGCAAACTGACACTTGCGTGCCTGTCTTCAGAACGGGTCCACTTAAACTGGTGTGGTTCTTTCATCAAAAGACCACTACAGAATGAACTTGCACGGTTCTCTCACATAATGTTATTTTTACATTGTCTGGACTTGAAAAGAGACTGACCTCTGAGTTTGTTTCGGCATTTCTTCTCAGAGTAGTCAGATAGGAAATGCCGGCTTCATCTAGTTTTTTACATATAAATTGACGTGTAAAAGTGCCGTTTTATGGCCTATTTGCAAAAATAAATTCATTGTTTCATTATTTCATTGTTTCAAATAATAGGTCTTTACCTATGAAATTGCCGTTCTGCGGTACTGGCCATTTCAAATCAAAATAGTTTTTGTTAGGCTAAAGCTAATTAATTTTGTTTTAAAACCATGGGATTCGTTTTCCAAAAGTAGTCATTTGTTTATTGATTAGTGTTACATTTTATTTCCAAAAAAATCGTTTAAAATTTTTCATGCAAAACGGCAATTTCATAGGTAAAGACCTATTAGATTGGTATACTTACATACCTACCTAATAAATCCGGCGAAAAACAACACTTGCATTTGCGTTGTGTTTCGTCGTGTGAGTGAGGTTACCTACCCTTTAAATTATCTGCCCACCCACCCTCAATCCCAGTTCCCTAATCCTCAAATGCCTCACGTACCCCGATGTAGTCATCCGGGTCCTCGTTAGAGGCGACGCACATACGAGTAGCTTACCATCTGGTGATCCGACTGCTCGTATGCCGAATCTCGATACTCGGGAACTCATTTGGTAAATATGATATTTATTTTGCTTCACAGATTAAACATGGCTTTAGCTCTTTACTACACTGCTGGGTCAGCCCCATGCCGCCTGGTTCTGCTAGTAGCTGCAGCCCTCAACATTCAGCTGGATTTGAATCCCGTCAACTTGAGAGCGGGAGAGCAATTTAAGCCGGACTTTTTGAAGGTGTGTTTTGTATTAGACCAAAATGACTACCTACTTAAGTAGGACGTACTATAAATACTTCTACTTGAAATGATGTCTGAAGATCTTAGGTTTGTTCATTATTTAGGACTTGCCTGCATCTGATCTCGAGTGACAAATTCAGTACCTACTTCTCTTCGGTCGTGTCGGTCTGTTAGGTAGGTACTTCCAAAGATGTTTGCGCACACCCTGTTCTCCTAGAACTCTCCTACGTGGTTGGCTGATGTTTTAGACAGATCTTGATTCTTATTACTTACGATGTTATCTTGCAGCTTAATCCTCAACACACGGTACCCACACTCGTCGACGGTGACTTCTCACTTTGGGAGTCCCGTGCCATCAGCAGATACTTGGTATCCAAATATGGCGATGAGAACAATAGTCTGTACCCAAGTGATCCACAAGCCAGGGCTGTCGTCGATCAGAGATTGGACTTCGACTTGGGCACGCTGTATCCAAGATTTGGACAGTATTTCGTAAGTATCCATTTTTTCATTTCACGAGTCGAGATTTTCTATGTGTGTGAGCCGAACTCCAAATTGGACTGAGCTGTCTCAACAACCTGTTTAAAGTGCCTTCTTTAACACATAATTTTAACCTTAGTAAGAATCACACCTACCAGTACCATTCACCAGACAAGAGATTTTTTGGCACGCGCTAATAACTAAATTTCTCGACATCTTCAGTATCCTCAAATCTTCGCCGGAGCAAAAGCTGACGATGCTCTTTTGAAGAAGCTGGAAGAAGCTTTAGTGTTTCTGAACACATTCCTAGAAGGCAACAAGTACGCTGTTGGGGATAAATTGACTTTGGCTGACCTCAGCCTTGTTGCCACGGTGTCAACGATTGACGCCACTGGCATCGTCAGCTTGGAGAAATATCCTAACGTTCAGAAGTAAGTTGTTAACTGTACCTACCTACCTCTTTTATTTTTATGAGATAGGGCTGATGCGGTAGCAAGGCAAGCAGATTGATTAATCGGCCAATAGGGATCCATATAACCAGCAATTGGTTACTGCCCTAGTTCATAAATAAATTTAAATGCAAATAATGATTAAGATATTCGTATAATTATACTCTCATTAATTGATTTGACGATATACCTAACTTTAAATATATTATTTCACGTAGAGCATTGTGACGTCACATGTTGCGATTTCAAACAAATAAAAGCATTTTTTTTACATTTCATTGAAAAGTATTGAATTTGACTAGTTTGAAACTACCGGAAACAATTGTGTTACCAGCCTTTTGAAAATATTTAGTTCTTTATACCAAAACTTCTTAACTTTGCAGTAGATATTAATAGCTTCCACAACCCTCGTTCCTTGTGAGTTAACCTTGCTGGTCGGTGTGTTGGCCACTCAACTATCAAGGAAGTTGTTACACCTCAATTAATTTCCTTACTGGTTTTTGTTACCTACCTACCTATTACTGATAATGTTTTCCTCTCTGCAGGTGGTTCGAACTGGTGAAATCAACAGCACCAGGGTATGAGAAAGCCAACCAGGCTGGTATCGACGAATTTAAAGTTCTTCTAGCCTCATTCAAAGCTAAAACAGAGTTGTAAGTTCCTCAATAATATTAAGTAAACTTTGCATTTTTATAAATGTAACATTTGTAATAAGTTATAATTTTACCGCTGGCTTTTATACACTAACTAGGGACATTTTACCTAGTTTCAGCATCGATTTATTTATTTTTAAGAGCCTACGAATATTTCACTCAAACCAACTGAAACTGTTATACTTAATACTCAGACTTAATACTAATGTATTACTTTACTCAAATTATAAGACTTAAATCATGTTTTAAACTTTTATTTGTGCCTTACAACCTAAACTTAAATAAATCAGAATGTAAAACGGTGTACTTGAAAAACAACATTTTGTGAATGTGACAGCGTTTGTGCTGTGTAGAGAAATAGGAGAGCTCCATTCATTTATCCAAAAATCCATGGCAAGAATGTATAATGGAAGCCAAAGTAGAGTGCAATATATTTTTTTTAGTTTGAATTATTTTTTCTGAGTCAACGAAGGCCCAATAAGGGCCCAGTTTAAGTTTTTCTAATTGAGCACTTATTGCACCTTCGTCCATTAACGTCATCTGCATAAAGGAATGGAGAAACTTGTGTAAACTCCAGTTACTTCTTCATCATGCTGTTGACGAGACCCTTGAAAGCATCCAGACCTTTCTCGTTAGCCTCCAAGTAGCCAGGTGCTGAGGTCTTCACTGTTTCATACCACCTGGAAAAGTAAAAACCGTTTATTATAATTACGTGTCGCGGACTCCTAAGCTACTTTGAAATAAATTTTCTATAGGCAACGATAATTATTGTCCTGGCTAAACTGGCTAGAAAATCCGAATTGGTGTTTAAATGCAGTGTAGCATAAGGCTTTTTTCTCGTCCTCTTAAATGAATGGATCCTTCCATTCATGTAAAGAAGGATTGGTTTTCACCTTTTAATGTTAGGGTATTTCTTGAAGTCTACATCAGATGCCTCGAAGCTAGATACGCTGGCAACGAGACTGAGGTCAGCGAGGGTCAGGGTGGGACCAGCACAGAACTTCTGTCCTTCGAGGAATGTGTTCAGGAGCTGCAGAGCATCTTCAATCTTGGCCAGCTTGTCTTTGTCAGCGGGGGCGCCACCAAACACTTGTGGGTACTGTAAAAGAGATGTTGCATTAGTAGCGCCAAAATGAGCTTTTTGGAGGTAAATAAATGGGTCCAATTTTTTCGGCGAAAAATTTTTTTTCGTGATAGGATTCATTCTCCGAAGTACTTAGTATTATTGTCAGATATGGAGAAGAAATTCCAGCATGTCTACTTTACCGTACCTGAATATGGAAACCAAAACGCATCACTTGAATGGCTTATGTAGGAAGGCAGCCGAACTAGCTCTTACAAATTGATAAAATAATATTAGGGAAGTAAACAATCTTAAACAAAACAATATTTAATACCTAACTTAACTATGATACTTACGAAATAGTCAGCAAATCTCTGATACAGAGTGCCGATGTCGAAGTACAGGCGTTGGTCGACTAAAGCCCTGGCTTTGGGTTCCTCAGGGTACAAGCTGCTGCCTTTGCCGTATTTGTTCACCAAGTATGTAATGATGGCGCGTGACTCCCAGATCGAGAATCCATCGTCGACCAGGGTGGGCACTGTGTGTTGAGGGTTGAGCTGTGGAGAAAGAAATTCTATTAAATAAATATCAATTCTCACTATGCCAATTTTCTGTCGTCGTCATAACCTATTCGATATGTCATCTGTGGTAACCAAATAACATAAATAACGTACCTATATACCTAAACAATTCGCATTTCGTATGCGCGCTTTTGTAGGTAGTTTCGAAAATGACCCAGGCAGTTGCAGATGCGTCTTTAATAAAGTTTATAATGTAAGTTTAGGTAGGTAAGCAAAAATAAGCCATGAGCTATGTAAGAAGATAGGTACCTACTTAATGTATCCGCTGCTGCCAACAAATATCAGAAAATCAAGATCCATATCCGTGAAACTAAAGGCTGACTAATCCATACAGACATCTTAAATGGGCAGTTAAAATAATTCGAATAACCTACTGCATTTTTTTATGTGATCAGTCGGCAAACTAGAAGGCGTATTTTCTATAAGCAATCAGCGCCGCTCATGGACAACCAGCAACAGGAGTAACGAGGGTCTTGCCGGCCTTTTAGGGATAAGGGTTTTAGATATTAAGGATTGAGAAGGAATGGGGGAAAGGGAGGAATTGGGCCTCCGGTAACCTCACTCACACAGCCAAACAAATCACAACAGTCTTTATTAACGTTCGCCTACATACTTAACAACATAGCCATGTATTTTCCATGCATTTAGGTAAAGCAAAATAAATGAATGCCATCGTCAGCGATAGGTAATTCCACCAAACATTTGACGTGAGTTTTTGTAACTTTTTCTCAAAAACTTGCCGCGGCGAACCGGCTCAAATACACTTAAATATAGCTAACTACAGTCTCAATCGGTGCGCATTCCTGTTCCAACATCATCATATCATCATTAGGAACCATTCGACTGAAACCGGTTTGGTTTCGTTCAACTAAGTACCTGCGACTGTGGCAGGTGAACGCGGTTTCGCGAGATATTATTTTATATCATCCTTATTGTTTGAATTTTGTTAACTTATTGGAGACCTCTGTGTCAGCACGGAACCCAACAGTTAAAGCCTTCGTCTATCTAATTGCTTTTAATGCTAAAGTTCTTCATTGAATTTTGCAATAAACAAATAATACCTAATAAATATCGTCCACAGCTAGTCTATTTTTGAGTAAATCTTTTTGTTTATTTCAAATGTAGACACCGCTCGGCAAAACCAGACGAATAAGTGCAATTAAAATCAAATAGACAAAACTAAAATAATATTAATATTAAAATATTCATCACAAGTCAATTTACGAATCGCGTAGTGGAAACAAACGTTGTCCTCATAAAGGTTCAAAGACCTCAAATTCCTACAGCAATATTACATCACTGACTGTCTATTTCGACCTTCAACTGCTTATAAGGTATTATACACCCTAGTTATTAGGATTTAGAGTTGAAAATGATTTGTTATGGCTGTTCAGATCTGTACTTCGATAGGAAACGCTGGCCGAGTGCCATGGGTTCCTAGCATTCTGTACTACATTGGGAAACTCGAGTGAATGAAAATTTTATATCGTTACTTTGTTTAGGACTTGAAATGTTTGTTTGAAAAACTATTTCTTATGGTGTTTTAACAGTTCTTTGCAGTACCTATCCAAGACAAAGTGATCGATGAGGACCTATGAAGCGTATTATTGAATACTATGTACAATTTTAGCCCGAACCGCTACGGAAGAGAATCTTGGCGGATTCTATGTTTCCTAAAGGTTATAACTTGGGTGTCTTCAACGCCTAAATTAATAGCTTATGGATAGGCGTGCTTCATCTTAGGTCGCATCATTGTCTACCACTTAGGGATAGAAAAAGCCTCAAAATTCAATGACATTTGAGGCATTACACCCGTGTTTATATTCAACATTCAACTGTTTGCGATCACTTAACCAGGGTTCTGACTAATTATGCAAGTGCAGCGAAAAAAGGAAGGCTATATTTTTTTATTTAGGTAGGTACGTAATAGAAACAAACAGTTTAATTGTCAATTAGTAAATAAGTATTTAAGGAAAAAGGAAATAATTGTAATGGTTCTGAGTATTTGTTACTTGGTCAATTAAATTGTCAGTCAGTTTTCCTGAACAATACCGTACTGGCTTTACAGTTAAATAACAATTAACGACGTATGCTTGTGTAAACAAAATATAGATACGTTGATATAATAAAGACAACAAAACATTGTAAATTAATTATAATACCTATGTTTAATAGCTTAATCACGTCACTGTTTGACAAGCAACTCGAATAATTTCCTGCTACGTTTACTTGTCTCAAGAAAGCTGTAATACACAACATTGCAAAGTACCAATTCAAGAAAGCTACCAAAGGGTTTTAATCAACTCATCATAAAATCGGCATACAACTACCGTTGTCATCTGAATTAAGAAAATAATATTCACGGTTTGCATTGTTTGCTTAATTACAATCGTTATTGGATCTCTTATCTTCACTTTAAGACATAGGTACATCAGTAACTACCAACGATTTAATTATATCGTCGCTCCTTGCTGGAGAGGCACCCAATCAACCCAGAAGACACCTAGTCAATCCTAACGTAAGTAATTTGTTCTTAGACTTATGTTTTTCTTGTAAAACCACTTTGGTAGATTTTCCACAATCTATAAACCAAGATAACCATAATTGAGGTATTCAAATAAAAAGTTGGTTACAACTCCAGAAGAATACGTCTAAACAAATCTTAATTCTTCTTGTAAAAGACACTCACCTTGATATATTCTGGCTTGAGGTGTTCACCGTGGTGCAGATCCACTAGTTTGAGGTTCAGGTTGAGGTTGAGAGCCTTTGCGGTGAGGAGCACGGCACGGCAAGGAGCGGAGCCAGGCACGTAGTACAAGTCGATGGGCATTGTGCTGAGGAAAGACAAGATCGTGAATATTTGAACTCCTTCAGAGCATCATGGTAATTGTCTGCTATTTTTGTGTTGCAGCGGATAATTTTAACAGACCAGATAGAACATAACAAAATTAACAGATTGACTGATAAAACTTCTGTGTTAATCCTTCTATGGCAAAGGGCACATAGAGAGGGAGTGATGCATCAAATAAAAAAAAAATCATTGCAAGAACATAGGTGCAAGTGATAGATATGCAAAACAAATAAGGTTGGCACGTTATTTATTTTGTATTGATTTTGGCGAACGGCGTATTTACAAATCTTTGATTAAATATATCAGTATGTGGCTAAGATCAAATACGATATAAAGTGAAAAAGGTACATCGTATTTTGAAATTCTGTTACTTGTTCTCAAATTTCAAACTCAGTGCTTAGTGCGATTTTGCTTTACGTTAAGACGATCGACAAAAACGTTACGATTGGCCTGCTCCAAGTTGACTAACGAATCGGAGTGCTAAACAAGGTAACGTTCCGTTAGTTTTCAACATCAAGAATAATTCGTACTTCAAGATACTTTGACGAGACGAGACAAAACAGAGGTCAATGAAAAATCTAAGACTTTTTTTGACTTCCGCAGCACATAGCCATGCAGCAAGCCACATAGCACAAGCACCCAATGACAAATAGAATGACGAATGAAAGTAACAGCCACGGAGAATGGACAATCAAACAATAGTCAAACTGTTTATAATTGACTGGTGTGACAAAAGAGAAGGTCACACGACTGAGGAATTACAGCTACCTAGGTATGTATTAATTGAAAAAGCTTTTAAGGTCAAACGGAAAATTTGTTAAAAGGTTAAGTTGTAAAAAGTATTTAACTTTAACGGTTATTTGGATGGGTTTAGGGTGCGCGTTTTAGGTAGGTACTCTTGATAAATTGAACTAACTATACGTAATAAACTTTTATGGCAAATTGTCGATACAAGTTAGGATTTATGTTCCACTTTATCTGGTACATCTTCCATTGATACATTATCTACACAAACTATACAAAAATTAGGAACTTTGTACTTTCGTTTTTTGAGTATGGATGTTAACTTCTTCCGCCCTTGTTGGCGAGAGGAATGGCCAGACCCTTCTAGACAAAAACCAATCCGTTCAACTCCTCATCGCACCGCGGCCATGGCCACGGTACATAATAGCTTGACCCGCAGCCCTGGCTGTCGTTTGAA